TGTCAATTCACTTAAGTATTAATAAAAGTTTGGGGCGGGTGCTACACCCGGGGTATCCCCTAAAAATTAAAAAAAAAGAATAAATATAGTATAATATAATACAAATCACTATAAAAATTATATAAATAGTAAATATAAAAAAGACTATTGCTAACTTGCCTCCTGATTAAATCACCAGGGGTGCTATATCTCAAAAACGTACTAAGTAAACTGGATCAGGTACTCTAAGTAAAAATGTTCAGAACCCCTGAAAACCTTACAAAAACTAAAGTCAAAACCTTATATCTAATACATATTATATTATATATAAAAAAAATAAAAAATTCTAAAACCGTACCCTAACTCTAAATTTTAATAGGGGTAGTTAAATCACCCCTGGTTAAAAATAGTTAAAAGCATAAATATATAATATTATATAAATATATATATATATTTATTATATATATTTTATTACTTATTACGTATACATATAAAACACATGATAATACAGTAGTCGGAGTGATCAAAATTGAGATTGAACGAAAAATTGCTACCAAGAATAAAATATATACTTATTATTACCTATTACAAGGTAATATTAAGTAATAATAAGTAATAATATGTAATAATATGTAACTGACTTTGCCCATCTCTAATATATACATTTAGAAACAAACTATTTTCTGGTCTAATTTAATGCAGGCCAGCAGGCCAGCAGGCCAACGCGATAACAAAAAGTCACGTTTTCATGGTCACACATTAGTGTATGATCTACGGTACTAAGTGGAAATCACTTTGCACAAATAAATACATATTTATTTATTTATTTATTTATTTATATTTATTTATAAATTTATTTTATTAATTACAATTAGTTTTTTAGTTCGTAGAAACATTGCAATTAAAGAACATTTATCGTAGAAACATTGCAATTAAAGAACATTTATTCAAATTTCTTATCGAGAAAATCAATGAAAAATTTAATAGTCGTAAATGGGATAGGATATCTAACGAAAATACGAAAATAAAAATATGATGTATATCAAATACATCAATGTAATGTAACATGATAATTATTTGACATCTATCCTAATTATGTGGTTGTTACAAACGAAACCACGATAAACGTATCATGGTGAAATAGAAGTATAAATTCAGAAATTGCTAAATCGTTATTTGCCAATATTAGAATATCGATTGCGAGAGTGATTTCAATTACGATTACGAATGTAATATTGTTTGTGATAGTGATTTCGATTGAGATTAAATAGAATATATAATAAAAATAAATCTATTAAACGTATTCGTAACAGAACTTTTTTTTTTCAAGGTCTTGGAGGAAAATTCCTAGGTCGCCTGAAACCAGGATTAAGTTCTAAGTGCCTAAGTATTTATGAATAAATTAATAATAAAAAGAATTGCAGTAACTTAATCATGACTCAATAAATAAATAAATACTTACTTATCATGACATTCTTTTGGAGTTCTTCTAAGCGCCTCTGATATTAATTTCCAATTATTGCCATATTTTTGATAGAGCTTTGAAAAAAAGGCAGTTTCTATAGGACTCCAAGGACGCATTTTTTTTCGATTATATTCTCCAAAATGAATTGGAAATTAGAGCAAAGTGAAAATGGGCGAGTATTTATTAGTAATCATTTTATGTAGCATTAAAGTTAGTAAGAAAATTGTAATTTCCGAAGTAAATATGAAATTACCAAAAAATATTTTTAAAATATTTTTAAATGTATTAACCCTGTCATTGGTGCAGTTCATAATACTTTGTTATTGGTGTTTATTAAGGAAATTCTGAAAATTCTTCAAAGAAGATATATATTCATATACAGGTTAATACTATATGCATGTAATGTATTGTTTGACACGTTTAGTTCCCTGGTTTAATGAAACAACTCCCTAGTTAATGAAACAAAACAATCTATAGATAATTTGCGTCATAATTTCGTCATTTCGTCATGACTGTTCAGCTGTTCAAAAAAACATTACACGAAAAAAAAATCAAAAAAAAAGAAATAGATCTATAATAAGAACTTGTAAAATCGAATTTCTTAGAATAAAGTAAATTTAACAAAAAGGAATATTTTAATCTTCTTTAATTGCCAAATGGCGTAAAATATTGTATGGCGTAAATATATTGTATGTGAAATTATTGATTTATCGTTATAATAGGTAATCAGTGGACTAAAGTAAACATCCCATATGGATAATTTCTTTCTTAAATAGAAATAAAAGATATATATCAACTATATATACTGTATAACAGATGATAAAAATAAGATATACATACAATTATGTAAGTTCTAAGCAAGGTTTATTATAATCACAATCGAGTCAGAAGAAGTAAGAAAATAAAAATAATTTAAACGGCGCACAAATACATATAAATTGAATAACATAAAATGAAAAATACAAAGAATTTAATACATGAATGAATAAGCTAACATAGAATGATATCAAAAATATGCTTTTTATTTGATTGGTAGATTACATACTCGATTTGAACTTATTTATGCTTTTTGAATTAACCATATTTAGATTTACTCATTCTTAATTACTTTATACGTATACGTACAATAAATTTTTTATAATATTTGATTATGGAATTTATTACATGGAGAATAGAGAATACGTGCGCATATACGAACGTTACGGAGTACATATGTCTGATATTTGATAACTGATATCTGATATAGATATTGGCTGCCGTCAATAAAAATCAAGCAGGTTGACATTTTTTTAAAAACTAATCCACTAACTTTCACAATTTTATATTTCGATGAATTAATATTCAAAAGAAAAGTCTATATTTTAAACTTTCTTTTGTATATTAATTCATCAAGATATAAATTATGAAATTATGAAAGTTAAGGGATTAATTTTTTTTAAGATGTCAATCTGCTTGATTGATGACAGGCTACATTGTCGGCGGAGTAAATTACGACATTTCACGTGCTCTATGATTGTGTAACACACGGAAAAACCTAAAAAAAAATTAACATTTGGAGAATAACTTGGATTCTAAGATCAAATATAAGATATAAACAATATTAGAATATATGCCCATAATAAGAGTTATACGTATAAATAAAAGTTACATTGAGTTTTTTTTTCTTGAATTGTTATATGAAAATCTTCAATCGCATTAATCCAATAATGACTACAATAATAATAATCGCTTATCCAAATAATATTAGTGTGAACACTTTAAAATTGTTATTAGAAAGTGTAAAGATGAACTGTTAGACCACCATTATATGACATATCCTTATTTCCTACTGCAGGGATTTACATCATTGCAGGAAGTAAATATCACGTTAATACGTACAGTATTTACACTAATACTACGTATATTACTAACATATATTACGTATACAATAATGAATTAATATTTGTAACGTCTCAATTTCAACCATTTTGCAATACAACAACATCGATCACACCACAGTTCTATTCCAAGAACGAAAACGGCCAAAAATGAACGATTACAGACTAATTACAGACCAATTACAGACAATTTCAATCAAAACGATCATCTCTAACAAAGTATTTCAGAATTAAAAATGTAGAATTTTTATTTTGATAAAAATAAATGACATATTTTTATTCTAGAAAAAGCGATATATCAATTTTATTGGTTAAAAGTAACGAAAGCATAAATAAATACTTGTTACACTAAAAGAGGGCCTCTCCCAATATTGTTAGTCTGATAAGACAAACCAATCAAATTCTTTGTTTTAAGCCAAGGAGAGAGATTCTTGTTAGAATTCAAGAATTATTTGAAATACATGAAAAGAACCAATACAGCAATACAGGAGAATCCGACTAATGACACAAAAAAGATACAACACGTAAGCTACCACATTAAAACAAAGACCACCATTCGCATTCGCACTACAATGAATATTAATTAATGTTTGTGCACAAAACATACAAAATCGTCGTAGACACAACTTTATCCGGTTTGTATATATTGTTAAGGAAATATTGATGGACAAATTGAATTTATCATTATGATCATTATTCGCACTACAATGAATATTAATTAATGTTTGTGCACAAAACATACAAAATCGTCGTAGACACAACTTTATCCGGTTTGTATATATTGTTAAGGAAATATTGATGGACAAATTGAATTTATCATTATGATCATTATGATCATTATGGACGCCAATTCTTGGCATGCAATGACGAATCATAAATGCATATCAGATATGTACTGTACTTACGAGTAAATTAATAAAGAGGTATATAATATCATGTGGCTAAGTGATAGTTAGCTACCTAACTACCTTCTACTCTTGGATCACGAGCTTAATTCTGCATTTTTAATATGTAAGACTAAATAAAAATAAATGCATGTTTAATGTAGATCTGTTTTAGTTCGTTATACAGTAATTTTTAAACAAACGAATAAATCTTTTATTACTGAATAAAAAAAAAACTTAAATTTTAAAAATTACGTCTCGTGCAAGAATGTTTTTTTTTTTTTTTGTTGTGAACTATTGGAATTAGGAGTTTTATTAGCTTTAATAAAAAGGAAGCTTCAATGGTACCCTCTTTTTTTCACATATCAAAATTGACGATCTATATGAAGTTATTGTTTTCGATACATCTTCCAATAAACGAATTAATGATTGGAACGCATTGGAATTGAAATTTATTTGGAAAGCCAAATACAAATACTTTCCAATTAAAATTGTTTAAACCTCGAAAAAGGCTGACAAAAGCAAGCTTAATTTTACGAAAGTTTATGCAAGACACTTTTTCTGATGATTGAATTAATTGCTTGGATGAATTTATCGAGTATCCGATATTATTTCTTAAAGAATTACGATTAGTATTGAACATTAAGCTAGAGTCATTCAAGACAAAAGTTGAAATGGTCTGAACTTTATATATAAGACTTTATATTCTAAAAGTGATATCCTAAACATTCACTAAAATCTTTTAATAATTTGATATTTAAAGGATTTCGATGTACTGTAACGGGTAAGCCAACAATAAATTACCGAATATTTTGTGTAACAGACCCTAATAAGATAAAACGTAGCACCGATCGCCATTACATTTATTTGTAATTTTCCGAATAATGATATTATTTTTGTTAATAATTAATAATTCACATGATTGATCATTCATTTTTATACTAAATGTCATTTTCTTTGTGAACTATGTCGTTTTTTGTTACATTATTCTGTTATTCGGCAAATGGGTAAATTAAGCGCCTTATTTCTAGTGATTCAGTCGAATAAATTTTTATGGTTCGGCTAAGTTATAAAATTTAAATTGTCAAATTTTAGGGTTAAATTTGTCAATTAAAACATAATTGATAAAATTATTTAAAGCTACTTGCCGTTGTGTACTGTATGCATTATACCTTTTTTGATACATAATTTTATATTTAACAAGCATCAGTAATGATTGGCTGGAGCTGAGGGAAACGAAATGGAAGCCTTAAAGCCATACTATACGATTTTTTAGAAATGTCCAGTTCCCGGTTCAGCTGGTCCTGATTTAGGTTCAGAATCCAAAAATTGAACCTAAAATTAGGTTCGATTTTGGATACTAAAACGTTAATTTAAATGTAGTAAAATCATTGTAACAAATAACTGAAAATTTTTTTTAGCAAATAACATTGAATAAGAACATTAAATAAAATTTTGCAGTCGACTTTTAAAATACATGGGGTAAAAAGAATTTTTATACAAACGCATAAATCAAATAAATACGTATTTTTGATCTCAAGCACGTTAGATAAAATTAGAAGAAATTCGTTAAAATAAATAAGAAACGAAATATTAACTGATATTCACATTAAAATAATTGAAATATGATTGGTTAAAGTCCATGTGATTTATGCGATATTGAAAATAGGACCTGCAAAAATTTGGATCCAAAATTTTCCAAAATTTTCCAAATTTTTGTACCAAATTTTAAAATTTCCAAATTTTTGTACTTATTCCAAATTTTTTTAAAAATTTGGCCAAATGATATCAAAATTTTTGTCCGATTTTAGGATGCATGTGATCTGGCCAATCAAAACACATGGTCAATTGATATATAAATTATTCAATTTTCTGGAACGTTTAAGTTAATTTTTGTCATAAGCACCAAGTCTTAAGTGCACAAAAGTGAAAAGATGAAGTTTTTTTGAGCACATTTTTTTTTTTTTGAATACAAACGAATAAAAAAAAAAAGAAAAAAAAAAGAAAGAAAAAAAGAAAAAATGAGACCTAAAAAGGTCACTGCTGCCAGCCATGCACAAGAGTTTTCTTAAGACTTTGTCTTGGATTCTAGAAAACTTATGTGCCATTTTTGAACCACAGTATTAATTACCAAAATAAAGCTTTTATCACCGCACACATAAATAGTAAAGTGCATAAAAATAAATGTGAAGCATACTTAAACTCTAGAAATAAAACCTGGCAACAATGTCTTCCATCACCTTTGATTGTAGCAGACAAAAAAAATGAGATTATTTGTGATCTGGTTACGGCATGGGTTGAGGCAGACATACTAATTGAAAAACTTGTCAAGTTCCATGGCTTTCTAAATATGTA